AGTATTTAATTCCTTCCTTTACTCTTTACTTACCATTCCAGCAAAACTGTTCTGCACATGTTCAGCTTTTAACAATCAAACTGTCCAGGCAACCTGCTCAAATAAGCCAGTTCCAAAAAGGGGCCTTTGCTCCTGAAAACCAGAAGTTTCCGGCATCGGGCCTCCAGCCTGGCAGCAGTGAGTTTACATTGCTTTTTTCCTGTAGCAGCTGCTTTCAGCCACCAAAAAAATGAGACAACAGGAAGAAGAGAAAGGAATGTTAAGTTATCCCAGTACAGAGTACTTCTCTCTGCTACCCTTAAGCGGGCCGCAGAAGCGTGTAATAAAGGATAAGCATTTAATGTGCATGTATCCTTTAGGGCCTGTTCATACTAACCTGTCCACTAAAATGCTGTGTTTCTGTGAACAGGCTAAAGCACTGTGACAGCTCCGGTAGGGTGCGTTGTATCGTACACTGCTGGAGCCGATACTGTTTACATTTTTTTTTTTTAACTATTGTACATGTGTAGTGATCAGTGTGTACTCTAGATTCAGGTATGGCAGGATGTTTGCACTTTAACACAGCGCAGCCCCCCCACCGTCACACCCATGTTGTGGTGTGAATGGGACACATAGAAAATAATTGTTTTCCATGTGTCCAAGTGGTGACCTGCATTGATCAGGTGCGGCACAGCACAGCTCACCACACCATGTGTGAACGGGCCCTTATAGTAAACCTGCAAGGACAAAAAATGGGAAGCATCATTGCTTAAATGACTGACATTGTTAACCTTGACCCTGACTACGCTACCTAGGGAGCCGCTAACCTGGAACAAACATGCTGCAGGAGAAGTCTCAAAATCAGAATTCCTGTCCTGCATGCTCAGAAGGCTGTTCTTTTAATACACGCCATGGCTGCTCCCAAATTGATATCCTCAAAGCGTACTTTAAAAGAAGAACTCAGGAAAAAAAAGCATACAGAAAAAATAAACAAATGTAAAAACAATTTGCTGACCGGTAGAGACGGAGAGACGTTTTATGGCAGAAGAGATTTACACAGTCTTCTGCCAAAGAAAGTCAACCAATCCATTTTTAAGGGGAGGGACATTTACTTTCACTAAGTGACATTCTAACTCTGCAATGAGCAGCCGATTAATAATATAAAAAATGGATTGCACATGGAACAATTACTATGCAACTTATGATACCTGCGGCTACAAAAAAATAAGTAACAATGAATATCCCATTTCACAATCTGAATTTGTGGGCATCTGCCTAGTAGAGCCTGAAAAGGCAGTTGTGTTTTACCTATGGATATGAAACAATGTTCTGACAGATGGTTACCAGAACAGCCACAGAAGAAACGTGCATATACTCTGCATCAGACTTCATACTTCTTGAGAAGCAGCTACCACTAGAGAGAGGAACTGCTGGCTATATAGCAGAGAAGCTAAATATAAACCAATGCAATGTGCACGGATCACATTTGTAAATAATGGAGGTGAAAGCAGTCCAGCAGGTCTCAAAAGGGAGGTGAGGTATTGGCACATAAATCATGCACACATCTACGAGACTGAACTCTGTAGTTCTGTTGTGCTAGAGTGGAAATGCACCTGTTAGGCCGCCTGCTAACAAAATAGGTAGGAACCTGAAGAGGAAAGATACTCCGAGGAGACAAAAAAAAAAAAAGAAGTTGGATTACATTGGTCACATATTCAGAGAAAACTTAATGCCGCATTCATTAAATCTTTTATTTTTGCAAACAATACTCTTGGGCAAGAGGTAAATAAGGCCAGTGGCAAACAATGACATGCATGTATACCAATGCAAACAAAACTAAACTGTTTATAATACACAGAGGCGGTGTGATTATTTTTTAATGCACCACTAAAAAAAAAAAAAAAAAAGGCATCGTCCAATTCTGTCCCTTTTTATTTTGCCCTAGAAAAGTGAGATTGCCTCACTTGTCACCAAGAGGCTGCGAAGCAGGCCAAGCATAATCCTCCACTATATTTACACACACACAGTTATATACACTGTGACGGCAATTACTAAAATGCTATGTAAATGAGAATGACTCCGCAGACCTGCCAGAAACAGGCAGCCTGCTGAAAGGCGTCACCTGACACTGACATAACAAAACGCTTCTTTTAGAACCGATGTACACTAGCAAATAGGAATTCACAGCTTTATAAAATCACAAATACAACGTAAACCTAAAATGACCAGAACGCATCCAAAATATATTCTGGAAAACAAAATTTAGCACTTCAATGATAAAATTATCCCCATGTCACCGTGTGAGAAAACCTGACACTGTAAGATTATATGAATTGTAAATATGTGAACAAGCCCTAAGAGTGCACACTGTGCCGATTTCAAAGTAAGGAAGAGCTGGCTCAATGTATCTTTTGCCCCTGATATTAGGCAGAACTAAACTTATAAAAAGCTGTCCATTGTAAGCAGCCCTGACAGTGGCAAATGGTTTGTCTCAACCCTCTATCTGCCACTTCTGCTGGATTGTTTGGTCAGTTAAAACAAAAAAAGCGAGCAGGCAGGTTCTTTACTGCAGAAGCGACATGCAATAAAACAAATGTACCTGCCTATTTGCAGCCTTCTTTTCATTCTCCGCACGCCTCTCTACCGGGATGAATGAACTCCTAGCCACATGCACGGAAGTTACTTCACCCCTGCCAGGACCAATCAAGTTGGCTGGGTAAAGAGGTCAGTGGAGATGAGTTAAAGTGACATTAAAGTCAAAAATATTCAGAGTTAGGACTTACCGGTAACTCTATTTCCATTAGTCTTCCAGGACAGCATCACGATTCTTTCTTCTAGTTTTCAGCCTTCTCTCCAGCGCTGCGGCAGGTCTCCGATCCAGCGCCGACTCCTCTGTCCTTGCTGGCACTTCCAGTCCCACGGTGTCTGCAGAAGGGTGCACGCGTCCATAGACTTAACTTGCGTCTCTGCTCGTCTCCCAGCCTAAAATCGGAACATGCGCCCGCCCCAAGATGCTTTGCAGCCGCCCGAGAATTTTCAGATTTTCGGACGGGAGCGCGCGGGGAAGACACAAGTTTAAAAAGCTTCTAAAGCAGGTTTTTTTAAAAAAAATTTTTTGCATACCGTATATATCTACTGCTCGTTAACAGTAGATATATGCAAGAAAAACTGAGGGTTTAATAGCACTTTAAGTTCAGAGTTAAAGGAAGTTGAAAAATAACAGATCTAAAGCCGAGTTCCAAGAAAAGTAATCCCCTTACAGGGAGGCTGCCACTGCACTGTGAGTTTAAGGTGCTTAATTAGGTCTAGGGGACACAGGTCCCCTAGACCTACCTAGACACCTGCACGTTCCGTGGACATGCACCAAACGTGTGCTTTGGCACACAGTGACAGAAACACGGCAAAATGCACTTGCATTGCCATTAATTTCTAATGGCCGAATGTGGCCAGGAAGACAGGTGTTCTTGCTCCACATTTGCACACATTAAAACACGCACAAATGTCAACTCAATGGGGACGCGTGGCAAATGCAGCACAAAAACATGACGTGTGTTCACCGAACACACAGGTGTGAATACAGGGTAAAGAATTTGTACTTAACAGAACCCTGCTCCACGACCGACACCTGCAGCATCTTCTCTCTGCTCTGGCATTTGGACAGCCCACTAACATCATGAAGTACAATGCAGGGCCCATAGTTCTGCATTATATCCGAGGAAGCCAATGAACAGTCCACAAGCCGGAATATAAGAAGGATGAGGAGAAAACCAATGGCCAGGAGAGCGGGGATTAGGTAAGTAAAACTACTTTACCCAATACCCCTAGACCTAAATAGGTACTTAACCCTTGCAGTGCAGGGACAGCCCCACTGCAAGGGGTGTTTCTCCTACCCCCAGAGAGTTGTTTTTTTTAACCTGTTGATTCTACCATTAAAGCAATCCTTCACCCATATCTTTAAAAGAACAACAAAACACCTTTAGAGATGTTTAGTAATGACAATCTACAAACACATACTTCTAGATAATTGCAGGCTTTGTATTCTTTTCATACCTTGTTTGTCTTTTCTTCCCCAGTCTATTGACAGTGACCATGTCTAAGGGCAGATTACTAGCTCTCCTTTCACTTCCTAGATTTCTGGCACATGTGACTAGACATGTGACCATGCACATCATCTCAGGGGAGGAAAATGCCTTTCCCTGAGATTAGAGATGAGATTTCCCAGCAATGCTCTGCTGATGACAAGGCAATCCCAGTGTGCATTGCTTTGGCAAACTGAAGTCATTTTGCCCTTTCAAAGCAGGAAGTGAATGCTCTGCAAGTGTAAGTATTTCAAAATCACAGCATTTTACACCCGACATGTCTATGTTATTATTAATCATCATACATATAGAGGGATGTATTGGTAGGATTTCATTTTTTGAGTGTAAAGGTCCACTTTAAAGCCTATGTGACAGCAAGGACTCAGAAAACAAACAAAGTGTGCAGTGTTAACACTGGGGACAGACTGCAGCATATAGGTCATGTTTTATTTTGCCCTGAAGACATCACAGCAGATGACAATCCTGTCCTATGGCAAAAATAAAAACATGCTTATAATGTGGGTCCATGGCTGTTTATACATCTCAGTCCTCCTACAAACCTCACACACATGACAAATAGATGCCCAGCCCCCACACACACACACACGGTTTTATGTTTCATAACATTCTGATCAGCTTCAAAACATACTGGAAACAGCAATGGAGGAAGGCAAAACTCCTAATTATAATCCAGAGCAATGAACGTCTGCACAGACTGACAGACG